TGTACTTCAGAAGATGGCAAAGAAGTGGAAATGTGAAATGCGAGCTCACAATTCCAATGTGTTGCAAAAGCAAACTTCCCGTCCCATGGACGGATGGACGACAAGCCAGACACAAAGGCACAGTGCAGAATGTAAGCACAAAGCGAATTCGCAAACGCGGTCGACAGGGAAGGTACAATAACATACACACATAACAACATTAACAGCACAAGGAACTCGAAAACAAACGCATATTAACAGATGCAAAAGCAAATGCGCGTTTGTATGTATCTACAAAGTAAATGCAAACAAAAGTACATGCAGCCCTACATACATTTTTTATTTAGTTCTATACATAGCACACTTTCAGTCATACAAACCAAATTGCTTTTGCTTGCAAACAGAAAGTCTGCCGCATATGCTACGTGAAATGCAGAAGCCAAGCCAAGGACCAAATGAATAGAGCAAAAGCACGAACAAAGGAGCCAGCAAGGAAGCAAACACAACTTGCACAGTGGGTCCATTTCAGCTTCTAAGGAATGGAAAACTAAATCATTTAATTTATCTTCTGCGTGATAATATTCGTAGAAAATTACATTTCTATACAAAAATTACTTCATTTTAACCTAAAACCCTAAAATAAAATATCGACCGATGAGTAGAAGATCGACCTATTCCGTAGTCAGCTCGAAAACGCCCTATCTCAAAAGAACTTTTCAAGAACGCTCTATTTCACAATTTTCTTGAACGTCTATCTCAGAATGCGGTTCAAAAACGCCCTATCTCACTTCAAAATGTTTTGAAAATGTGCTGATATAGGGCGTTTTTGAATCGGTAGCTGAGATAGGGCGTTTTTGAAACGAATTCTGAAATAGGGCGTTCTTCAACCAAATTCTGAAATAGCGCACTCTTAAACAGTTTTTTGAGATAGAGCGTTTTCGAGCTGGCTACTGAGATAGGTCGATCCTCCACTCAGCAGTCGATATAATGTTATTTATTATTAGCAACAAGCCAAACCATATTAGATAACCCTAAAGTTTAAGTGCACAGCACATTGTGGGGCGGAAAGACTTTTCTTCTGAAAATTGCATGTAATAGCAAGACACTTAGTTAAAATTAAACAAGTAAGAGCAGCGCTGTCTTCGGCTATGCCGAAGGCTTCATACCTTTCATGAACATCTGAAAATTTTACTTTGACAGATTACTGCATTTGAAAAAATTTATGTATTTACAGAATACATACATAGATAGAGGAGATACATATATTTATGAAAAACCATATCTAAACAATCGGAGGTATGGAATATATACCTTATATTATCACCAATATAAGTGATTTTAACTGCTATGTGATCGGTATGTAAACCGATAACACAATTTAATGGGTTTAGACTCCTACATAAAGGAGTCGTAATAACTGGTATCTGAACAATCAGAGGTTTAAGAGATAAAGTTTATACATCATATATTTTGACGATTTTCTCAGTAGACTTTGTATTATTATTTATAGAATAGCTTACGAATTTTGGCAGTCCAAATAAAGGAGTTTGACAGTAAAACCCCATATCTGAACAATCAATTGTATGGAGGATATAAATAGGCTACCGTGACCCGCTTTTTGTTAGTTTTACTGCAAACTTTCTGTTGGTAAAAAAATATTGCGAAATTCATGTTTCTAGCTGCATATATGGAGAAGTTATAACACAGAATCACGAATCTGAACAATCAGTTGTATGGAGGCTTTAGGTTATAGCGACCCGATCTTCGCCATTTTCACTGTAAGTATTTTTTTGATAACGGGTGGAAATATTGCGAAATGTTATGTTTCCAGCTGCATAAACGGAGGAGTAATAACGAAAATTCTCATAACTGAACAATCAGTTATGAACAATATATGTTATAGAGACCCGATCTTTGTTCCTAGCTGCATAAATGGAGAAGTTATCGGAAAAAATCTCATATCTGAACAATCTGTTATATGGAGGCTATAGGTTATAGCGACCCGATCTTCGTCATTTTCACTGAAAGCATTCTTTGATAATGAGTGACAACAGTGCCGAATTTCATGTTCCTAGCTACTTAGATGGAGGAGTTATAACGAAAAATCATATATCTGAACAATCAGTTGTATGGGGGCTATAGGTTATAGTGACCGGATCTTTGTAATTTTCATTTTAAGTTTTCTGTTGATAATGGGTGGAAGTATTGCAAAATTTCATGTTCCTAGCTGCATAAATGAAGAAGTTATAATGAAATATCTCATATCTGAACAATCAGTTGTATGGGAGCTATATGTTATAGTGGTCCGAATCGTCCGGTTCCGACAGATGATTAATACATTATAAAAATACATCCACCTGCCAAATTTCATCCGGATACCTCGAAAACTGAGAGACTAGATTGCATGCAAACAGACGGCAGACGGGCATGGCTAAATGATCACTNGGAGGTATGGAATATATACCTTATATTATCACCAATATAAGTGATTTTAACTGCTATGTGATCGGTATGTAAACCGATAACACAATTTAATGGGTTTAGACTCCTACATAAAGGAGTCGTAATAACTGGTATCTGAACAATCAGAGGTTTAAGAGATAAAGTTTATACATCATATATTTTGACGATTTTCTCAGTAGACTTTGTATTATTATTTATAGAATAGCTTACGAATTTTGGCAGTCCAAATAAAGGAGTTTGACAGTAAAACCCCATATCTGAACAATCAATTGTATGGAGGATATAAATAGGCTACCGTGACCCGCTTTTTGTTAGTTTTACTGCAAACTTTCTGTTGGTAAAAAAATATTGCGAAATTCATGTTTCTAGCTGCATATATGGAGAAGTTATAACACAGAATCACGAATCTGAACAATCAGTTGTATGGAGGCTTTAGGTTATAGCGACCCGATCTTCGCCATTTTCACTGTAAGTATTTTTTTGATAACGGGTGGAAATATTGCGAAATGTTATGTTTCCAGCTGCATAAACGGAGGAGTAATAACGAAAATTCTCATAACTGAACAATCAGTTATGAACAATATATGTTATAGAGACCCGATCTTTGTTCCTAGCTGCATAAATGGAGAAGTTATCGGAAAAAATCTCATATCTGAACAATCTGTTATATGGAGGCTATAGGTTATAGCGACCCGATCTTCGTCATTTTCACTGAAAGCATTCTTTGATAATGAGTGACAACAGTGCCGAATTTCATGTTCCTAGCTACTTAGATGGAGGAGTTATAACGAAAAATCATATATCTGAACAATCAGTTGTATGGGGGCTATAGGTTATAGTGACCGGATCTTTGTAATTTTCATTTTAAGTTTTCTGTTGATAATGGGTGGAAGTATTGCAAAATTTCATGTTCCTAGCTGCATAAATGAAGAAGTTATAATGAAATATCTCATATCTGAACAATCAGTTGTATGGGAGCTATATGTTATAGTGGTCCGAATCGTCCGGTTCCGACAGATGATTAATACATTATAAAAATACATCCACCTGCCAAATTTCATCCGGATACCTCGAAAACTGAGAGACTAGATTGCATGCAAACAGACGGCAGACGGGCATGGCTAAATGATCACTGAAGTATACATTTTAATAGGTCTATCTCTTCTTATTCTGGTACTTACAAACATCGGACCAAAGTTATAATACCATTTCATGCTCATGAAAGGTATAAAAAGGAGGAGGTTATAAATTCGACCACGTTTTATTTATCGTAAAGGTGGGACCCAAGTGCAATTGGAAATTGCTCTAAAAAATCCCGTTGAGTTAGCATGAATAAAGTGTATTCGTATAAAAATTACATCTTTCGGAATTCATTAATTAATAAAACAATTAAAAATAAAATAAGATAATAATTGGCTTCTAGCTTACAACTTATTAATTTTTATTATTGGGTCAAAAAGACCAAAAACATTGTGGGAATGTGTAAGTACGGAACAAAGCAGAAATGTTAAGCTGCCAAGAGAAAAATATGTTCAGTAGAATTTTTTTACTGCAGTTTGCACAACCTCCTTTGGCAGTAACTTCATCATATTTCATGCACTGTGCAAGTAAATTTTCACGAGCGCCAGCTCTGTTAATGTGCTTCAGCTGTATTTATTAACAACCATACAAACGAGTCATAGAAGTTCGGTTTGTATACGGAATGAAGGGAAAAACGCAAGCTGCTGCTAGCATACTTCAATATATAGATAGAGTTGTTGCAGTTGCTTTTGTATGTGCCAAGTCTGCCGGCGTTTCGTTGTCACTACAACATTGCATGGCTGTTATTTGCTTTGCTGTTACTTCTGCTCGTTCGTTACTAATGTTGTCGCGGTCGCAGTTGTTTGCTGGCTGTTGTTCTTGTTGTTTGCGGGTGATATGCCGCATGGCAATGGATGGATCTGTCGAACAGAACACAGGCAGGCAGGCAGGCAAGTAATCTGGAAAGCCGTTACGGGGACGAAATGAAGCAATGTAAAAAAGCAAAGCGAACGAACGTAGAGCAAAAGCAGAGCGCAGCGATAAAAAATACCCATTAAAGCGATTGGAGTTGGACCTACAATACGAGATATGTGCATACATATGTACATATCTAGGCATGGATGTATGTATGCATAAACAAATATGCATATGTGCTTAAAAGGTATTGAAATAGAAAAGGGAGCAAAATTAGCAGAGCTACATACATATGTATATATGCGCTATGGATGCATGCATATATATATTTTCATATATATACCCTTATGTCTATATGTATGTATGTACACATGACGTTCGCATGACGAAATATGAAACGAGAGAAAACGCTGATGAATACATTTCGAAAGCAAAAAGGGAAATAGGAAAGGTTTTTTGTTTACAGCAAATTGGATGGTAAAATAATGGCGAGTAGTGGCAGGGAGTTTGGCAGCAAAAAGATTGTAAAGGCGGTGGTGGGTTTTTGGTAGCTGATCGTGCACAAGTTTCATATTTCAAATGTACAAATAATAAAAAGGGGCAAGGGATTCTTTTCCTTTTACCTTTTAAGCACTTAATGTGCGCCGACTTGCTTTTGGTTGCTGCTACAACGAAGGACGACTACCACCACTGATTGGCAAGCATCATACTGCTGATGCCAGCTGCTGATGATGAGGTGGGAAAATAGTAAGTGAATCCGGACGCAGCACGCATATGGTAATCCATTAAAGTTTGTTTATAATCCAAATGTGGGCGCCAAAATTCAAATTCATATGAAAATATTTGTTCACTGATTGCTAATTAATGCGGGTTTGCACTTTTATTTGGATACTTAAATTGTTTTTTTTTGTTTATTTTATTAACTGCACTTTTATTTGGTGCATTTAACACTTTGCAGAAATGTAACGCCAACTCTTTTAAAATGCACTTTGCACAGATTTTATTGCAATTTATTATTCTTCAGCTTTGTTGTTATATTTTAAAGAGCACAACTAATTCAATATGTATGCACTTTTAACTAAATTGCATACCAAGTAGACGCGCATATCAACCACCTTTTCCACTTTATATTCTTATTCATTAAAATTCATCCGAACAATGCACTGCGCGCACACTACTTTTCCAACTATGTACTTCTTTTATTCTCTTATGTTTTGAGCACACTTTTATCACCTTACTTTGCTTCTCATTACGTGCGGCACAGCAAACAAATGCACGCACACACACACACACAGGCTACACGGTTCGAAAACTAAAATGCCAAAGGTAGCAAGTAGCTGCTAGCTGCTGCCTGCCGCCGAAAAACGTGACAGCCGTATTTGAAACACTCCGAAACGAAAAATTATTATCAGCGCAAGCACCCTGGTGGTAGCGGGGTACGTGCGTGTGTCCATATAACGCACACTGTGAGTTTCATACGTAAACAGCGTTGCTAATGCGACGGTGCCACTAGCAAACAGACTTCAACGACTGCTAATGTTGCTGCTGCAGCGACAGCCACGGCGCTCAAAAAACATAGATATTCCACTCTGCAGCAAGCAAATGTGGGCTTACGCACACACATTCACATATGTATATGCATGTACACACACACACACACACACACACAAAGCGCACTCAACGGCACATGAACAGCTTCATTTGACTGCGCGTAGCTCTGCTTCTTCTTCCTCCTCTTCACTTATATTTAGTCAGTGCGACTAGTTGAAATTGGTGACTTTGACTAAATTACTTTTTTTTCAGTCGTTACCAAATTTTCTACAACTTATCTAATAAAGTGTAATTATTTTCACCTCACTTCCATTAATTAAAATTTTTATTGCTATCTGCTTATTAGTATTTGATTTAGTTTTTTAAAATAGCACTTGATATCTCTCCCTCAATATGGAAAACGACGGCCACACAATCATTCGGCAAACACTACCGTACAACTCAACGTTTCGCGTAGAAATGAACTCGACGCTCCGACTCGCTGTAGCCGTGAACCAACTCAAAAGCACTCAATTATTATATACACATAAAAAGTGCTTATATACAAGCGTTACTTGTTTATCTACAAGCTAAGCTGCTTATATGTACATATATATATGTGTGTATATATAAACATACAGAAGCATAAGCATATTTATGCTCCACAGTGATGACGTCTTTGTTGCGACTCCCGTGTTCATATTATACATACACATTTGTGTGCAGCCATTCCGTTCTCCCTTCTCTATATACATACAAATATCTAGTGCTCTGTGGCAGCAGCAGCGCCAACTACCTCGCTAAACCACTACTCGTTTATTTACTGCCCATCCCCTTAATTCGTTCTTCATACACTCACCACTCACTCACTCATTCGTATTCCATTTCAGCCATTTACTCATTCGCCTTCGCAATCACTCTCTCGCTCATTCACATGCATCAATGCAACCGCACTCACACCACAGCCTATGAAGTGCAGCCATTCGGCCAGCCCAGTCCAGAGTAACTCCGTTACTCTTCGCTGCGAAAATGCGGTCGCTATGATTTTGGTTCGACAATTTCGCTGCTGCTGCTAGTTCGTACTCTTTTGGTTGGTCTCAGTTTTGAGTGGCAATGTGTTGATTCGCTCTTTTTGGCAAAAAGTTTTTGCTCAGCTTTGCGCCGCCATGGGTGAGTGTACTGGCTGACATTATAATATTATACTCATTATTGGTGGGTACTAGATTGGCACGAGTGCCTAATATGTGAAGTAAATAGGCTGGTATATATATACACATAAGTACTTATTTATTTACTACAGCGTCGCAGCTGCCGTTTTTTATGTCGAATTCATAATTAAGTGTGCTTGTTTTCAATAGCATATTTCTCCACTCTTCTTCTCGGCGTCGAGGTTGCGGTTAATGCTTCAGCTACAGCTTCGACTGTAGCTGTGGCTGCTACAGTTTTTGTTGTTTTTGTATTGTGGTAACTAAGCGCGTCGGTCGACTGTTGATGCTGGAAATGTGAGATGTACGAACTGGTTTGCTGTTGTCGACAGCATTGCTGCTAGCTGCTTTTTTATGCCTGAAAGTAGATATGTATGTATGTATGCATATATGTAAATATGTATGTAGTTGTTAGAGTTATAGCTGTGCTAGACTGTTTTTATTATAATTTGCAGTTCACGTCGACCCCATTGCCAGCGCGAGTTGTTGGGTATGAGACCAAGGGCGAATGCTGCTGAATAAGACTTTACCTATAGCTGATTTGTTAATGTTAGCTGTTTTATCAATTATTATTAAAAATTTCATTCTGGATACGCCGATGGCCAGCCCTCTATTTAAATACTTCCAAACTAGTTCGGCAATGCAAGTCTCGACTAAATTATGTTGCGAAGGATAACGAGCTTGCTTTACTCTTGGTGTCAGGTCACGCCGGAGTACCTGGTAATGAGGCATCTGACCATTTGGCCAGTCGGCTTAGACCAGTCATTCCTCGATCCGCAACCAGTTATAGCACTACCCACTTCTGTCATCGAAACCACCATCAGAAACAGTTGGGCAAAACTCAAGTTGCTTTCAATCTCAGAAGGTCTATTTAGGCTTTTCCCTCACTGAGCTGGACAGAATTCAGACAAGTTGTTGGATTGCTGACTGGTCACTTCACGTGATAGGCTGTGATAGACGGAAATGACAACTCCATTTACTCATTATGCCTTGCAGAAGATGAGACGGTGGAACACTTTTTGTGCTTCTTGCCGACTTGGTTATTTGCCATCGATTTTTATTAGGGATGTGCGATTAATCAATTATTCAGTTTTTTAATTAATTATTAATTATTTGACTAATCAGGATTATGATTAACCAGATCCTGACTAATTACTGTTTACTCAAAAAAAAAAAAAAAAAATCAAATCTGAATAACTTTGTTCACATCTTTCGAGTGTGCTTTCAACCAAAATGCAATTTTTATACATATGAATGTTCGTATGCACATTCATGGCCCTCGCTAGGGCAGGCACCTTGCCGTTGGTGCGGGGGCTTAGTTGAATCTCCATTCAGACCTTCCCTGGACTGGCCCTGGACGTGCTCAGCTTAGGGCTGCTGGCGAACAGCGACCAAGAACTGCCGCCTCCTAATCCAGGGTGCGACGCGACACCGTGCCCATTGGACGGTTTGCAGCCAGGAGGGTAAACCGGCTGTATTTTAACGGCGCCTTCTCGATACTGGGCCGCCTCGAGGCGTAACGGCGCCTTCTCGACACCGGGCAGCCTCGAGGACAATCGATATCCCCACAAGATATGTAGACTGCTACGCTTGGCAGGCCAGACACGCGGTCGTTAGAACAAGATGAAGACAGCTAAAGTAACAAACAAACAAACAACCAACAACAAATCAGCAACAATAAAGAGAAGCCTCTCCGATGCCGAAGCAGCACTCTTCATTGAGCACGAGAGGGATGACGATGAGCCCTCCACGAGCAGTGGTATCTTCCACGAAAGGGCGTTGAGGGACACTGATGACGACCAGGGGTACAGGGGTAAGCACCACAGCGATTCGTAACGCGAGCGCCACAGGTCTCCAAGCCAGACCGGCTCGATAACATCGCGCGAATCCATGCGGCGGGACAGAGACCGCCATATGGATAGGCGGGCGAACCCGCCTACAGTTCCGAGGTCGAGGGCAACCTGGCGCCCTAGACGACCGTCAGCGATTGGGCCTCAGCGGCTCCCAAACGAGGCACTACATTCGGTACCTAGAACAAGGCAAAACTCCCGAGGTAGCCAGGAGGATCGCCCCAGCAGGAGTCGAGCAGACGTGGCAATAAGCGCGAGGGAAAAACGACCGCACCCGCAAATGAGCTTAAGAGCGGGCAGCACCAGCAGCAGGGTACAGAGGCGTCCGGGTGTCAGACCACACCCGCGGAAGAGCGGGCATTACAGCGAGAAGGCAGAACGCAAGCCCACTGGAAAGCGGAGTGTTGAACCCCGTGATTCGGGCAGAGGGCATGACAGGCGCGCCGACGAGACCGCACCCAGTGAAAAGCGGAAGAGCGGGCATTACAGTCGGGATGAGAAGCACCGAGACCAGAGGAAAAGGGTAAGTGGTTCCGGTGAGACCACACCCGCGGAAGAGCGGGCATTACAGCGAGAAGGCAGAACCCAAGCCCACTGGAAAGCGGAGCGTTGAACCCCGTGATTCGGGCAGAGGGCATGACAGGCGCGCCGACGAGACCGCACCCAGTGAAAAGCGGAAGAGCGGGCATTACAGTCGGGATGAGAAGCACGGAGACCAGAGGAAAAGGGTAAGTGGTTCCGGTGAGACCGCACCCGCTGCAAAGTGGAAGAGCGGGCAATTAACCTCCAGAATCTGGCTTCAAAGAAGCAGCGTGAGCTTCCATCCCCTCCATCATCTAGACCCGAGGGTAGGCACTGAGGCCCAACGTCTGCGCGGGGCGGCGAAGGGCAGACGCACAGCTACTCTGACGTGCTAAGGAGTATCAGGGTGGCGGTTCTGCCCAAAAACTATTCCGCGGAGGCGCTGAGTCCAGATGAGTTGACTACCCTGCGGGACGCCATAATGGACGAGGTGTTCAAAGGGTGCAAGCACCCGCTGGCATTCTGCGGAGTTTATTTCCGTCCAGGTATGCTCCTTGTGGACTGCAAGGATGAGGGCACGCCTAAATGGCTTGAAGAGGTTGCACCAAAACTAGGGAGCTGGAAGGGAGTTGTACTATGTGTCAAACGGGGCGACGAAATACCACCCATGCATAATATGACCATATTCCTGCCGAGAAGTGCTGACAGATCGGCAGATTATGTGATGGGGCTGCTAAGGGCGCAGAACGAAGGTCTTAACACACCAGAGTGGAGCGTCATCTCGAGCAGCATTGAGGATGCTGGCCTACGTCTAAACGTGGGCAAGTTTCTAAAGTTTCAAACCCGCTAGGCACCAACCAGCTAGTATCAGCGGCTCTTGCACAGGGGCAGGTCCCCTCAACGCAGGAGCTGATGGAGGGACTAAACCTGAGAAGGCTTGCGCTCGACGGGAAAAGCGAGAGCGACCTAAGGCTCTCGGACCTTGACGAGCGAAGATGAGTTACTTACCGCCCTTGAGAGTTGCCCAGATAAACCTGCACCATGCAATTGCAGCCTCAGCCGTGATTGCTAGCAGGTTTTCTACGGACGATCTGGGCATTATACTCATTCAGGAGCCGAGGACTAGCCGATAACAAGGTGATGTGGGACCTCGCCACAGAGAGGCCCAGAGCATGCGTAGTACTTAGAAATGATATTGATTATTTCCGCATTACAGAGTTTTTAACGCAAGATTTGGTAGCAGTGCAGGTGACACTTCGGGTGGATGGAAGGCCCTTTGAATTAGTCTTCGCTGCTGCATATTTCCCCGGGGATAACAACACCATACCCCCGGCAGAGGTACAACAACTAGTGGCGCATTGCCGGAAGACCCGACTTCCTCTTATCCTCGGATCTGACGCAAATGCGCACCACGTGGAGTGGGGGAGCACCGACACAAATAAAAGGGGTGAGTCCTTGTTAGAGTACCTACCAAGCGAAGATTTGTGTATAAACAAGGTTGGACACTGTCCAACGTTTGTCACCAGAGTAAGACAGGAGGTCCTTGACCTCACTCTAAGCAACAGTTTGGGTAATGATCTGATAACGCAATGGAGAGTGTCCACGGAGCCGTCGTTGTCTGATCATAAAATTATCCAATTCGTGCTCGGAGCGGAGGCCACGGTAAGCCCTCCGGTGAGGAACCCCAGGAATGCAGACTGGGAAAAATATAGGAAACTATTAGTTTTTAACCTACCCGGTATAGAGAGGCAACATAGAAGAGATGGCTGTATGTCGCTAGAACATAGGGTTAACAGGTTGACGGACATACTGACCGACCCCTTTAACTTTAGCTGCCCAGATACCAAGCCAAAGGGGAAGGCGAAATCTGCGTGGTGGTCTCGGGAA